AAGGTGATTTAGGGGTTTGAAGATTAAGATAAGCTTGGATAAAATGAGGAAGGAGGAGGGAAGAAGGACTACAAAATTGTAACTACCTACTGAAAAATCATTCTATGTCTTAACTGTAGTTCTTTTCTCTTTTTGCTTCTTCCACTTTTTTGTTTTTCCTTTCCTTTCCTTTCTCCCTTTCCTTCCTTTCTTTTCCTTTTTTCAATTTGCCTTTATTGTATGGAAAAACTCTTAATAAGCATAAATCAAAAAACCTCCTTATGATGCATATATTTATAATTCAAGGACACATTTGAGGGCTTGCTTGGAAGACAAATCAAAATGGAAAACATTTCCGTTAAGGCAGAATGCATGAAAAATCTTGAAGTAAGGCAGGAGATGCCTTTATAAAATCCTTACTGAACACCTGACTCAACCAGCCTTCTTGGGAACTTAATCCCCGGACTCAGATCCAGTCTTCAGCTTTTCCAATGGGAAGATCTCAAATCTAATAAATAAATATTTGCACACCCAAGTGCGACATTTCAAATCATCCCAAACACCACCCAGGGAGATGGACTATTTGATCCATGCCCATAATTTGGGAGAGACCTTTTCTGGAGAGAGGCAAGGAGGGAGGGTGAGATTCCTGCCTGAGGCTGCTTACCAGGCTGGCCCAACATGTTGGCAAAGCGTCGGTCGGTGCTGAGGGAGGGATACAGCTCCATCCAAGTGGACATGGAGTGAAGGCGCCCGCATTCGTGAAGCTCGTCCAAGAAGGCCTGAGCAAGAAGCAGCCTGGTTATTCTACGATAGAGTGAGAGAGATCAGGGAGTCAGCCCCTCCCCCAGTCACAGGCCCTGCCAGGGAGGCCATGTGCCCCAAAGCAGGCCCTGAAGCCCACCTCCCTCTGCCCTGACACAGAGGTTTCTTCAAATACTTCCTTCCCTCTATCCTTCCAATGCCCACCTGGAAACTCAAACAGTTCAGATACCATACAGCACTCCATATACAGTATGAAGGGAGGAAGAAAAAAGCAGGAAGCAAAGACACTGGGATGAACTGCAAAATTTGACTTGAGAAGTTCAAGTTTTTAAAAAGCTAGTGTCAGAATTTTGCCCCCAATTCCTGGAAAACGTACACTCCTGGGTTCCAGCCTCTTCATCAAACTTCCCTGGAGACTTCTGGACAATTATTGTGCAATTTGCCTGTACAGTGTGCCATTTTCCAGAGTGCCCAGACAATGGCGTGAGCACAGAACCTATATTTTTACACTGATGCATCACCCATGCTCTATTCTCATTTTAAGTACAGGTAGTGCTCCGCAATTGAGTCCCAAATTTCCATTGCTAAACAAGATATTTGTTAAGTGAGTTTTGCCCCCATTTTATGACTTTTCTTGCCACAGTTATTATGTGGATCACTGCAGTTGTTAAGTTACTAACACAGTTGTTAAATGAATCTGGCTTCCCCATTGACTTTGCTTGTCAGAAGGTCACAAAAAGCGAAGGCATGTCCCTGGGACCCTGCAACCGTCATAAATATGAACCAGTTGCCAAGCGGCTGAATGTTGATCATGTGACTATGGGGATGCTACAATGGCCAAGTGTGAAAAACGGTCATAAGTGCCATTTTTGGTGCTGTGTTCAGTAAATCCATACACTCACAAAATGAATGTTTGTTAAGTGAGGATTACCTGTGATTAAAAAAATGATAGCAAGAGAAATCCATCATGCAGCATTCCAAGAGGCACAAAAAACATGAGAAAATAGGACTGATGAATTGTACTGGAATGATCATCACGTATGAGGGTGAAGTGACTCTTTTGTCTACCATAACAATGCTCAGCCAGTGTGGCCAATAATAAGGATTTGAGATTTTTTTGAGATTTTATTAATATTTGTAGGCCGCCCTTTTCCCTGAGGGGACTCAGGGC